AGCTGCCTGTGTCTTTCTAAACATGGTGATAATGCTAGATTAGGTGATGACTGAATAGGGTTTTGTTTGCTGAAAACGGGGAAGTGGGATTGTGGTCCTTCAGCTGCTATGGGTTTATTTGCTTGTGGGATTGGAGACAAGTAGAGCAAGGAGGAGGATATGAAAATGTTAGGAGAGATGGTAGATGGATACATGGCACATAGGTTCTAAGTATCTGTACCCAGTGAGCTTTCTAGGTGGAAGGTAGGTGCAGATGATCTAGTAAGTTTAAGAAGACTATGGGAAGCTTCACATGAATAGCACTCACTCCCAATAATGGGGTGTACTTTTATATCTAATCATGTGTATAAGCTTGCACGCTGGCTTAGTACACAGGGATAGTTGCAGCCATTTTCTATTACTGTGTCTGCCATTTTTCAAGCCACCATCATTTCAGAAATAGCTGCAGGCATCTATATACAACCATCAACTAGTTAATTGTCAGAGAAATCTGCATAACCTATGGCCCGTATAAGCCAGATTTAGCCCACTAGACAATGCAACCATACATAATGGTTTGCCAGACAGATGATGTGGTCTAAGGCATACAGCAAAACCAGGCATACTTAACTAGCTATACCATTCAGTTGGTTACCCATAGTTAGGGGTGGCTCATGGACTGGGACAGAGAGTACTTCACCTCACAGTTTCAGGGGTTCCCCCTTCATGGTCATAAGATGCCCTTGCCCATAATGTAGGCCTGCCTCTGCTCCTCCTCCACAAACAGGTAACCAACTTGAAGATACTATGCAGGGTATCATGATTTTTTTTTTTTAGAGGTGGGGAAATTCTAATGTACTCCATGCAAAAACTTCTACTACATACTGCGCACAGGCTTCTGAAACCTTACGTTATTGTAGTTGATTTCCAGCAGTGCCCCAAATTCTGAAGGCACTAATAAAGAAAAAAGCTTTGTGTGTGTGCCATCTCTGATCCATTAACTTGCTTTATTTCTTGTCTTTGCTTTATAGTGATTCCACATGTCTTGAAAAGGACACAATGAGCAGAATACCCAGAATTCAAGGGCAATTCTTAGCAATCTCTTTTAGGAGACATCTGCACCTGCTGTGTTATAAAATCTTCCTTCTTGTCAACCCCAGGTTGTCAAAGCTGTCTCAGGACAATTCAGCCATCTGTGCGGGATCTCCTTCACCTACAGTTATAAATGTTTCTCCTCACATACTCTAAGCTATAAAGCAAAAACAGAATTATAAGGATAAAATAGACAATGACACAACAATGACTGCTGTACTGGTTTTAACCATCTGTTGAGTCCTTGACACTGCAATCCTATCCATGCCTATTCAGAAGTAAGCCCTACTGACTTTAATGGGACTTACTCCCATGTAAGTATGTGCATAGGATTGCCGCCTCAAATGGAATTGGCCTCAACTAACAATAGTACTTATGGTACAGATGAATGTAGAGCTCATCTGTACCACAATGTGAAAACAATGTGAAACCAAGCAATTTGTAAAAAAATAACAAGGAAGGACTTAAAATGAATTAAAATTTCCAGTGGTTCCTCACAGAACAGATTTGCTGTGTTTTCAGGGCAAAGACACCAGAGTATTAGGGTCAATCCTGTATATCATTGATCCCCAACCTTTTTAACTCCATGGACCGGTTGGGGAAGGTGGGCCACTCCCCGCGCTCACGCAGGCACGCACACACTCATGCACATGCGCAAAGGGCAGGGCACTCACTCATACTCGTGAAGGGGTGGGGGCACCCACAAGAAGGGCTGTGCAGGGGACAGAGTGCGTGCAGGGGGTTGGGAGATCTGTCTCCGCAGCCCGGTCCAGCCCAGGCCACGGACTGACACCCAGCGGCAGACCAGAGGTTGGGGACCCCTGCTGTATATCATCACAGGAGGCCATCCTCAGTTTCATTGCCAACCCAGGCACGGCTGATGGAGACACAGGAGAGGACTTTCTCTATGGCAGCTCCCAGGTTATGGAATGCTCTCCCTCAGGAGATCAGGCTGGATCCCTCCTTTTTGTCCTTCCAATGACAGCTGAAGACCCATCTCTTCAGGCAGGCTTTTAACAGTCATGACTGAATCCCTGAATGCCTTCTTAGAGTTAAGACAGTTGTTAATGTTTACTTTCTTTTAATTGTTCAGTTGTATTTTGATGAGCATATCGTTTAATTGTTTTTTTTTAATTTTTGACTTATTATGTTTTAAATTCTATTGGTTTTCTCCTCAATAATTTTTAAAAGCAGATTTATGTTCCCAAACTCTCAATTTGGAAACTACCATGAAGGCTCGCAGTTCCACCATACATTGCTTCTGGAAAAACCATAGCTTTGACTATGCGGACCTTTGTTGGCAAGGTGATGTCTCTGCTTTTTACGATGCTGTCTAGGTTTGTCATCGCTTTCTTCCCAAGAAGCAGGCGTCTTTTACTTTCGTGGCTGCTGTCACCATCTGCAGTGATCATGGAGACCAAGAAAGTAAAATCTGTCACTGTGATGAGTGAGGAAGCATCTAATTTAAAAATTACTTTCAAGATTACTTTAATACTCCTAAGAAGAAGACAAAAAAAGCATTCTAAAGGTGATGGCTGAAAGTTCCTCACTTACTGCATGATCTACCATCAAGTTATGAACTAAGTTTCTCAACTAGCTAAGGAACCCTGCGCTGTCAATATACAAAGCAGAAAAATGAATGGATTGGTGAGTTAATTCCCATATTAATTAGGTATGGAAACCTGGAGTGCAGCCACGCCTCTCGTGAACCATGGTTCTACCTTTTGGAAGAAATGTTCCTCGCATAATTTGTACTAGCCAATAGGCACCTAACAGAATTGTTTTTGTTTTTGTTTCAGTGTCTAACTCTAGTCACTTACCTTACTCCATGGAAAATATTGTGTTAGTTTGGAAGGACATATGGAAACATAATTTGTACGGTAATTTTCCTTTAATTTTCAGATATTAAAATGAGGAGAAACACAGGCAGCATTGCAGAGGAATTTGACAGGACAAGCCCAGAGAAATATCCCATGGGTTACTGACTGTCCCCCTTATATTTGTTGCCTTCATGCTTGCATACTGTTACTGCAATGACACTGTGACTTCACATTTGCAGACTTGGTCCAAACCACCTGAATCAGCCCTGAGCAGTTGCGTGCTGGGGGGGGGGACAGCTAGTGTTATAATTTGCATGTAATTAAATAAATGGATCACACACAAAAGGCTAATATCATGTATTACCACCACAGAATGTTGGCCACTATGCCATTAACTGGCATCCTGTTCATTGGAAGGCCGGAGAAAACTGGCATGGGAAACATGGGGTTCCACTTGACACTTCACTACAGTGCCACACTAAACACCATAGGAAGCAACTCTAATGGATTGACCCTGAATCACTATTAGTACTGTATTTGCTGGCGTATAAGACTACTTTTTTGCCCTGAAAAATATGCCTCCAAGTGGGGGGGTCGTCTTATACGCCAGGTACATTTCAGTTGGGATAGACATAGCTGCCCATAGTGGCCTTCCGATGCTCGCCCAGTGCCCATAGTAGCCTCCCGATGCCTGCCCACCTCATTCTACATACCGTCCAGTACCGCACATGGTATCCAGCGCAGCCGTGGCGAGCATCAGCAGTGAGACAGAGGTGCCAGCCTTTTCAACGTGACTGGCTCGTTCTGCTTGGCGGGAAGCAGCGGCGCTCCAGCCCACTCCTTGACTACGCAGAGCTCACACATGCGCACTTGCGCACTAGTGCCGGTCACAGGGAGATGCAGGGGCGGGCCGGAGGCACTGCGGTTGTGCTGCGGCCATACAATGGTGACAATGAATAGCACCTTTTATTTGGTGTGTGCAAGGTGTGCAGAAGAGGGGGTAGTCTTATACGGCAAGTATATAACAAACTATATATTTTGAGTGGCAATGTTGGGGGGGTCGTCTTATATGCCCAGTAGTCTTATACGCCGGCAAATATGGTAATTCACACTAAATATGGAATACCCATTTAGTCCTGGTTTTGTATTTACACACTCTAGCTAAGGTGAATTATTATATTATTATATATTTAGAATTTTCATTTCATACAAAAATATGCACAGCAGGTAAAGAGGGAAAAGCCATTGTTCTGCCAATCCCTAGTTTTAAAACAATTATTAATGGGTTAAACCAAACATAACATAACTGGAAGAATAATTTTTAAAAAAGATTTATGGAAAACATACATGAAATACATCACATTCCCAGTTGGTTAGTTTGAATGAAAGGAGACCTAGTTTATTAGACAGCGTGCACAATTGAGCCCAGGTTGAGTGCTTTTACGGGATGAACATCAAGTGCTTCATTTTGGCTAGACTGTGTTCCCAGTATGCCAGCAATAAAGATTCTTTAATAACCACCCACCTGTAACTTGTATGTGTAATAGCCTGTGCAATTCTGTATGAAGCTGCCTATCTAAAAACACCTGCAACCTCCTTTACATAATTCTCTTTTTTTCCACTACAGCTTCCCAACATTCATTTGATTCCCTTCCCACCATTTCCACTTATTACCTCACCAACAGTGGAAGGTATGCCTTCTAAAGGCTTCACATTAAGCACACACCTTCCACTGGCACAAATCAATTCTGCAGGCAGAACCCCCTTCTGCCTTTTGAGCTCTGTTACTGCATATCCAAATCTCCCACAGCCAAGAGAGGCAGACGTAGTGCCAACACAATTTTAGGACAGAGTAAAAGTAAGTCTAAGTAATTTCCAACCTCTCTAGGCTGGGAGAGGGCTAGACCCAGCACAGCCTCAATTGGCTCTTGGCAAGGTAGAATTGTCCTCTGAGATTGTGGTCCTATGTTCACTTACATGGGAGTAAGCCCCATTGAATTAAGGGGTGTTACTTCTGAATAGAAATGTATAGAACAAAAAACACAAATGTGTTTTAAAGGAGAGACCTGTACAAGCAAAAGCCTGAGTAATAAGCCATGTCACCACAACTCATATCAATGGGTTTTACTGCCTAGTGCAGAAGCTAGGCAACAAAAAGACAAATTTCAACTCATCAATGCACACATTTGGAAAAGCCAGGACATATTCTTGCACATCTGTATGCCACTGCAGTTTATTTGCATCCCAACTCTGTTCTTCCCAATGGCCTACCGCATATTTCTTCAAACATCTTTGGAGAAGGTCTGGAAGACACTGTTCATAGCCTCCCCCCATCTTCGTTGAGTCAGTTTATCTTGTACTATCTTCCCCTTTACCATGGGAAAACAAGCACACAGCTTTTTCTAAAAAATAAGCATTAAAGGTTTCTTTTTTAAAAAATAGTTTTAAAAGAAGAAACTCAGCATTCAAATGTGTTTTAGAATAAATTGCAGAAAAAACTACTACATAGCAGCAAGACTACATTAGACTTTTCGATTTTTCCATGGTGTCCTTGGATAGATAAACCACCCAGTAGACCATATTAAATGCTCCAAAAGTTACAGGAAACAAAATGCGTGCATATTTGTCTATCTTACTGGTGCCAGAACTTGAGGGAGGTGGAGCAGGAGCAGCACTGATGGCTGATGACTTTGCAGCAGCTCCTGAAGTATTCACTGAAGTCTGAATTTGCTCCAGTCTAGATCCAAGTAAATGGTGAATGGATGGAGACCCAGTGGTGGCTTGGTGGGACGTGTATCCAGTTAAAACTGGGGTAGAGGGAGGAGCTGAAGGAGTGGCTCTGGCAGAAGCCAAAGTCTCTGATAAGCTTATACGGCTGAAAGGGTTTGGGCTCGAGGCTGAAGGAGATCGGGGCATAACGTCCGAAGGCCCCTGAGTTACTGTGGAACATGGCACTGAACTGTTTCCGGTGTCAAGCCTCTTCGAAGTCTCAGCTTCTGGCTGCACAGAGGCGTTCGTTCTTTTCCTCACGTTGGAATTTGAGTCTGTACTCTGCAGTGTGGAAGGAAGAACATCAGAGTGGTTTGGCAAAGAAATGGTGGTATAGAAACCCTGCAATCTTCAGATAAGTGCAGACACAGCAATAATTTTTAATGGGAAAAATCAGTACAGAATTTAGGGCATTAAATGCAAAGGCACTGGTCAATCCTACATCTTTTCTTTCTGTTCTGCTTGCACAAAAATAATTACATAATAAGTGAGAAATTCATTGTTACTTTCCCTAAGCCTCAATTTGCTAGAATCTTGCATCTCCCCAAATATTAAATGAGATGGTGGGGTTAATAGTATCCCATTGTTGTCATCACAGGAGTTGCCAATGAGTGAAGCTATGCTGACCATTATCCAAAAGGACAGGGCAGTAAGCCAACTGTGCGGGTTTAATTTTATATACTGTAGCAGTTCAACCGCAGAGATAGAAGGGTGTAAATTTTTTAATGCTTTCCCCATAAAACATTTCCTGAATATAAAAAATCAGTACATTAAAGAAATTAGAATCATGACTTTTCTGCTTGCATACAAAGGATTACTGCAGACAAAGTGGGATTGGTTTTTGTTTGCTTTAATGTAGGAAAATGTTTTGGATCATCTACAGTCAGAACTAATAATATCACTTTTTGTACTGCCTCTGTTACCTCATACTACATAATGTGCTGGACAGTTCTGACAGCAGAAAATCCAAAGATGTAAAACATGGTGGGAGTACAGCTTGTAGAATCGCACAGTCATCCTGGCCATTGGTTATAAGATTCCATGTTCGCTATGGGATTCTGGGCGATGCAGTACCAAAAACAACAACAAAAAACCAACAATCCCAAACATTCCCCATCTCTTTGAAAATTCCTGCATTACAAGTCATGTGGAGTCTTCTGACACTCAACTGTGATCTAACATAAAAAATGGCCAGTTTTTATAAGGCCCGGGCAAGAGATGTTTTCAGCATGTTGTGCCTTGCATCATTCATGTAGACTAAATTTCAAAACTACATACAAAGCTTGTTCATAAAAATTGGTTGCACAGATCCCTCATGTTAACAGTGGCTGAATGCTTATCCAGTGTGCAATGATACAGAGTGACTGACCTTAATACCCAGAGCTATGGCTAAATTGTTCAAATTTGAATGTCAGTGATCAATTTTCAAGGAGGATCCCCCTCCTTAATTGTATGTAAGTACCAACAAATTAACTCATCTCAGCATTTCTTCTGCCTCACAAAACAAATCTTGACCTAAGAAAATGTTCTCTCACCCAGTAACAAATAACACAGAACTCTCATGGCATGTGACAGATACACTTGACTTATTTAAGAAAATGCTGTTAACGTGTGTTTACGTGTGTTATTTTTATATTCTTGGTTAATATTTTTAATGTTTCAAGATGGACAATTGTGTTAATCTGTTTTAGCAAAAACAAGGAATTTTGTTTCTTTTTTATATCACTTTTTTGGACTGTCATTTCCAGACTCCCACAGTCAGTTTGGGAGTGTGTGTCAATGCAGTGTCAATTATTCAAGACTCAAAAGCAACATCTTACATGTCTGTTCATACAGAACAAATCATTCGCAGAGAAGACGATTGCACACATTGTTGGAACTATGGTCTCCACATTCCTGATGAGGTACATGGCTAGTTCTCTTAGCCCCAGTGTTGGTATCAGGGCTGCCCAGAGGGCTCAGGCCTCTTTGTGTACTACTTAGGTTGCTCACTTGATCCCTTCTCACATGCATGAGTCCCCATACAGGATACCAAAACAGCTTCAACATCATACATACCACAAGTCCAATAAAATGTCCAGGCAAGCCTCACTGTTTCACTACCCAGCATATAGCAATTTATTTGGTGAAGATGGAAATTATTACCCATCTTACATATCTATTATAAATCCATATCCCACTCTCGAACACAGATGTGCCCAAGGTTTCCCATATAGTCAGGGCACATATATTATTTTGGGGGAGCAAACTGGTGCAAATCTATGGCAATCCCTTATCCCACATACAATCATGGGAGCCATGAAATGGGTTTGTTTCAATGCTGAGATTTCTGTTCCACATTCTCCATTTCTTAAAAATGCCTGCCTTTGCTACTTTGGTATAATAATAATACCCAGACTGAGAGAGAGAGAAAGCGAGAGAGAGAGAGAGAGAGAGAGAGAGACTCAAGCATATCTATAGTTTATCCTCATTTATTTCCTCACAGCAATAGAAAGTGCAGGCTAGGCCAGGCCAGGCTGTCCTGGACCTCCAGGCACAGATGTATCCTTCCTGCCATGTGGGGACCTTATATACAGTGTTGGCTTAAAGATGCCATGATACTCCCTGGACATTCCACATGCCATGAGTGTTATTTTCTCAATACAAAAGGTTTTAAGCAAATAAATATAGTTATTATTACCACCTATACTCTGCTTTTGTTCTTATTTTAAAATGCAGCCTTGACAAAATGTGTCCACATACACAAATCCCCCGTAATCATGTACACTACAGGACATTCTAAACATTCCTTCTCTTCTCTTTAATTTAAAACTCTCTCCCACAAGAGGCCAGGCTGGTCCCGTCTTTCTGCAAGCAGACAAAGAGCTTTCTCTTCAGGCAGGCTTTCCCTTATTGATTGACTGTTTGGGAGAGGTTTTTAAATGAAGTGTTGTGCCTTGTTGCTTTGAATGTGTTTTTGGTTTTGATTTTGTTTACCATTTTTAATATGGTATTTGTTTGGTTCTTTTTAATATCTGTATAATTACTGTTTTCGGCTGTTTTTAGCTTTTAGTTTTTAACTTTTAAATATTGTCTTTTAATAATGTAAGCCAGTTTGAGTCCTTTTCAAGGAGACAGGTAGGATAATAAACAAACAAACAAGTCTGTCTGTCTGTTTTTTGTTATACCTCTGCATGTCTCCTGAAGAACTCCAGCACACTGCATATTTACTCTAGAATATTCTTGGAATATCATACGTTGTTGGACTTCAATTCACAGGAACCCTAGTGAACATATTCAAGAGTGAGGGATTCTGGGAGCTGTAGTCCAATACCAATTGAGGAGCTTGAGTGGAAACCAAAACAAAACAGAGCAGCTCCTGAAGAATCTCTGTGCTCCCTAGAATACAGTTTGAAAATCATTGGCAGCAAGACCATAGATGAAGCATATAAATTTGTCAGACTCAGGAGAACTCTGAGGGTATCTAAACTGGTTTCTTGCACCAAAGACAATCAAAAGGCCTACAGATTAATTTACCATAACATATGGTTCTGTGGGATTCATCAAGAGTATGAAATGTATTGCTCCAAACAGCAATTTACACCCACCCACATTCATTTTCCTCTATACCCTTTGTAAGTGTGGTATGCACATCTTTGGATATAGCTATATATGTATATGTGCAGCTGTAAATAAACAAGTGGTATCAACAAAGCGTTCCCCAAAAACCTAAGGAGTGTCCCCCCATTACAAGATATCCTTCTATACATAAACTGAGAAAAATATAAATAAGCTTAGTAGGAATAGTTGTGGTAGGTTTTTTGGGCTGTTTGGCTGTGTTCTGGAGGTCCTTCTTCCTAACGCAGCCAAACAGCCTGAAAAACCTAAAACAACCATTGGATCCCAGCTGTGAAAGCCTTCGAGAACTTAGTAGGAGTCTTTGTTTTACTGTTGATTACAGTATTTGTCCTTTAATGTAATTTTTGTTCAAATAAATTATTCACAATGCTGTAAAATGTGTTAATGAAGATAAGTGTGTGCATGTTTTAAGTAATCGTATCAATCAATCAGTCAATCAATACTACTAATAAACATGGCAAGCAATTTGCGAGAGAAGAAATTGGGGATGTCAGAACATGGATAAACAAGAGGTTCTCAACATGTCTTTTCAGCTGAATGTTTCCATCTTCTACAGATTGCTGTTGACTGAAACTTTTTTTTTCCTCATGGAGATTTGTTGTGTAAAATGAAGAAAAAGAAAGAGAAACAGAAGCAGAAGAAAAAATGTTACCAATGGCAGGCAACACTGGTAACTCAATTTAACAAATAAAGCCTTAGTCCAAGGTACACAAGCCTCTTTAGCCATGCCATTTCTTAATCTCCATACACAGGTCATTTACGATCTATGAACAGACAAGTACATTTTTAGTATCTTAAATACATTACAGTGAGTGTACAAGTAGTGCAGTCATGCACATGGAGCTCCTGGCTACATATGTCTAAATAGTTGAGGCAGAAATAAAGTATTATGACTTTAAATAAAAAGCCTTAATCTGTAGTTACTGAGTGCTGGTAGAGCTGGACTTCCTCTTCTTAAATAGCCCATATGCATCTCTAAGTACAGTACATCTTTTCTATGTAGGCCTCTTGCTACACGTTTTTAATGTCACTTTACCATAGTGACATTAAACAAGATAAGCTGCATTGTGCCACTGAATATGCTTGGTGTTCATCCAAAATCTAGAAGATTGATTGATTGATTGATTGATTGATTGATTGATTGATTGATTGATTGATTGATTGATTGATTTATACCCTGCCTATCTAGTAGTTTCGACCACTCTAGGTGGCTTACAACATAAAAAACATAACAAGATTAAAAGAGATTTATAACAATTAATAATTAAATGATTCTGCAAGATGGGGGAATTACAAAATAAATCAAATGAAAAGAAAAAGGGAAGGAAAGAGGTCAGGAATTAACTGGAAGGGAAGGCCTGCCCATACATCCACGTTTTTAATTGGTTTTTAAAAATACCCAGCGAGGGTGCAGTGCGAATCTCCGGGGGCAAGTTATTCCAGAGGCGAGGAGCCACCGTCGAGAAGGCCCGGTTCCTTGTTTTTTCCTTCCGGGCCTCCCTCAGGGTCAGGCTCCTCACCTCCTGACTCGCGCGTGTGACATGGGTAGATTTAGGTGGGAGTAAGCGTTCCGCCAAGTATCGAGGTCCTAATCCGTTTAGGGCTTTATACATAAGCATCAGAACTTTAAAGTCGGAACTGAATGGGCAGCCAATGCAGTGCGG